TATAAAATAGTTTAGGAAGTGGAAAGAAACTATCAAGCAAAATCCAGAGGAAAGTGGGAACCCAAAGACATAAGCAAGCAGGGCAGACACTTTGTCCTCGCAGGACGTCTTTGCTGACAAAAGCATGTTTGAATTGACTGCAAGAGTTTTACTGGCTGAGGTGGAACAGAAATCAAAGAGTAGGACCAACACAAGAGGGGAGAATAAAGAAGGCCTTCTTCTTCATATCGTGCAGGGCTTCTAAGAGCTATGCCCCCAAAATAAGAGTGAGTCCTAACAACTCACTCTCTATCCCTCCAAGGACAGTTGCCTTGGCACACAAAACATATAGGGTGAGGATGCGGAGCTTCCTGAAAAGCTGCAGCCACAGGTTTGTCTTAGGTACAGAGTCATGACCCAGGTTCCTAGCACTCGGGTAGTATTAAAAAAGGAGTGAGTTTAAATTATAGTGATCCTAGCTACACAGCTAGGCTTCTGGCCAGAACAAAGGCTTGTCCTCCCAAAAGAAGGCTCTCATCTTCAGCCTCAGAGAAACCCTGCAAAGAGCTTTTTCCCTAGTACAAATAACCAACTACACAAGAGCAAAGAAAAGTAGCAGTTCTACTAAAGACATACTTACGAACAAGTTAGGGCTCTGATGAATTCTGCAGCCATTAGTTCACTCATTTACTCAATGTGTTTGGAGCATTTACTCTGCCAGGCAGGCAGCATGCAGGTGTTGGGCACGCATGCTGTTTCAGCTGCTACATGAACAAATCACCAAGGGTTGAATGGCATCATATTGATGTTTACTCACCTCTACTTTTTGGGTTTTCCAAAGACTTCCAAATACAAAGTCTAACAAGTGCCCATTACCATTTAGGGACAGATTTTTGAAGTAAACAGGTATCTCTTAGGACTGAAGTTGACATCACTGGTTCCTTTCTCACATTCTTATTCCCTGGAGGTTCCATGGCTGAGCTAAGCCTAATTATGCTAAAAGAAAACCGCAGGGCCATGTGTAGTGGCAGAAGAGCAATAAAACACAAAGATAGCTATCTCAGAGACAAATATCCGAACAGATGATCTATTATTAGGAATAACAGCATGAATTGGAAAGCACGATTTTTAAGGTACATATGGAAATAGTCAAAGGCACAGGATGGGTGGAGAAAAGTTAGATCAATATTTAGTTACACGTGGACTGCCTTTCATCACCAAAGTTATTAGCAAAAATATTGCTAATACAATATTTAGATTCCTGAGGCGTGTTTGTACTATTTATCAATCCGTGCCTTCTACCCAGATTTTCACAATGAGTATTCAAACCGTCAACCCCACAATTCTGCATTTGTTTTCTCTTATGACATAGTCTAGCAGTTGCCATTTGCTCAGCCTTCAGTAGCCCATGCTTTCTTCTTAGTTATGCCAAACCACAATAGTACAGTGTAATAAAAATAATAAAACAGAAGTCAGCCATGTGTGGTGGTACATACCTATAATCTCAGCATTAAGGAAGTTGAGGCAAGAGGACTGTGAGTTGGAGGTCAGCCTGGGCCACACAGTAAAACTGAGTCTCAAATAGCAAAAATAATGTAAGTCACTATCATCCCATTTTACACATGAGGAGACAATAGGCTAGAGAGATTGCTTCCTGAAACAGGCGCAAAAGGTGTAAGCGTGAGCTTTGCCGCTCAATGGACCTGAGGGTAAATCATGCCTGGCCTACGCTGCTCCTCTCCTAGAGATGAAATTCAGTAATTTTCTGAGCTGAGGACTGCTGTGAGGATGAGAGGAAACTCTGTGTGTCTGAACACACAACATGCACCCATATTTACCTCCATCCAGTGATGCTTCATCTAGAAATTCATGCCTTGCCTTAGGTACTGTTTTCAAATAGTTTTTTTTTTTGAAATTTTTATTTATTTTTATTTTATGTGTATGAGTATTGTGCCTGCATGTATGTTGTGTACCTGTGTCATGCAATGCCCGTGGAGGACAGAAGAGGGCATCGTATGCCCTGGAACTGGAGTTTCAAACAGTTGTTAGCTGTCATGTGGGTCCTGGGATTTGAACTCAGGTCTTTTGCAAGAACAGCCACCGCTTTCAACTGTTGAGCCATCTCTTCAGCCCTGTTAAATGGTTTTAAAAGCAGCCACTTCCAGGGAAATAATGTAATGAACGATGAAATGTGGATAATTTCTATAGCCACAGAAAGCCTTCAGGTCTTTAACACACCACTTTGCCTTCCTAACACTGGCTTGTTCCACCCTTTAAAAAACAATAGAGTATCTCGGTTGACTTTTTTATCTGGTTATTTCCAGAATATCATGTATTATCTGTGGTCCTTGAAAAATGGTAATCCAGGAAATGATGCAGCAAGAGAGGTGCTGGCCTGGCCTCCCCTTCCTTGCCAGTCTCTCAGGTGCTCTGTCTTTTCTTTCCAAGGTGTCTCTGTGTATACAGGAGTTTGAGGTTAGCCAGGACTGAAGGTAAGGCAAGGGTGGGACAGAAGGATGTGACTGGTAGCTGATTCTTTGGTTCCCATGATAAAGACAGCTAGCATAGAAGGAATGCCCCTTTCTTTATTAAGAGGACATTTCATTTCTTTCTAGAGCTTTATGAGTAAATCATTTTCATAGGTCTTTCATTTAGTCCCAGACCATTTCCCAGTCCTAGAGTGGTATGAAGTGAAAGGCCATATTCACCCAGAGAGTAAGCAAAAAAATTTGGGAAAAGATGTTTTGTTGTTGATGAAAATTTGCCAATACAGTATTTGGATGACTTTGTTGCATCCTTACTAATTATCAAGCTGTGTCTTTTAATAAGGAATCAGATCATCACCATCTGGCACACAGAGGGGTCTTCACAAGCATATAAAGGTGCTGCAGTGGCTGCTGTGTGAATTGTCTGTCCTCTATCCATCAGGCAGACAGCAACTTAACAGTCACTGCAAAGTCCCTGAAAAAAGCTGGTCTCACTTGGGCTGCCTTCGGAGATGAGCAAGCTTCTCAAGTAATTGATGGGTTCAGAGGTCATACATAGGAAAGATTTGTTTTGTTCTGGAAGGTTTCAAAACTCAGTTCAGGTTAACACAGCTTGAGAGATTTCACATGCATCTGCAGCTGGCTGGCTGAAGAACCAACAGGGCATCTCTGGCCCTCTGGAAACTTGGGCTAGTAGTTGGAAATCACTGTTGGACCAAGGGAAAGTTCAGAAGTTCTGCTTCAGTTAGTGCTTCTGGGTATTGATTTAATCACGTGCAGATCGCTACCTCTCAACAACAGAAAGAAGGAGGAGGAGGAGGAAGAGGAGGAGAAGAAGAAGGAGGAGAAAGAAGAAGGAGGAGGGGTTGGAGGAGGAGGAGATTCAAATTTGTAAACACAAGAAAACCAAACTCTGGTGTTAAATTCCTCACTGGCAACAGTGCAGCATCCTCAGTTGGACCTGAAAGGCCCTTCCCTCAACTTTATACTTCAGACTCTTGCTAACTGGAGGTGTGAAAGGAGAGACCACTTTCTGACTAATGGTTGACAAAGCTCCTCCTATGAGCTGGCAGCTCTTGATGCAAGCAGGAAAGGGAGACTAAATCCCCACCATAGAAAAAGTGACTGCCACAGCAGAAGACACTGTCTAGGACCTTACAGAACTTGATCAAGTGAAAAAAGAATACACATCACTTAATACTTTTCAAACATACTACATAGAAAATTGAGTCCCTGCACTTTGAAATCACTCCTGATAAGAAACAGCTGGAGCCCAACTGTTGTCTCTTTCCTCCTGAACCCTCCTGCTGGCCCAGTGTAGTCCCCTAAGGGCACTGAGTCCCCACATTTTCCCTTTGCCACACCTCTAGCCCCTGCATGACTTCCTCCATTCCCCATCCCTTGTATTTTTTTAACCTCTTTCCCAGCCCCCACTAATATTGTAGACCTCAAAGTACAGTAATAAGCAGCATATGGAATTATTTATTGAGCACCTACTATGTGCGGATCACACATCTACTTACAAGGACTTCTCATTTAGAATCCACTACAATCATCTGAGACATGTAATGTGGGTGGAGATGAAGGACCAGCAGCTGGTTTGCTGGGTGGGATTTTAATTAAGGCTTGCAGACCACATCTGAGGGACCCAAATACTGTCTTTAAGGCTGCTTCTAACTCAGAGTCTATGATTACTATTGCTGGTTCCCCCATCTTTACTGGGATCGTGACAGACAGAAGTGCTGTCAGTTTTAAGGATGCAAATTTTGTAAGAGCCAAATTTGTCATCGGGAGAGGAATTTTTTTAACATGCCCTCATCTTTCCCATTAAATGGGGACAGCCCAAATTAATTCTGGAGGAAACCGCAACCTTTTGAAACCGTCCCCTATCTTACTCCACCAAACGCTGGGACCCCCCCCCCCAATACTGAACTTAAGTCGTCGTGTGACCCCCACCCCCAACAGGGAGAGAGAATCATGCTAGAGGGTTAAATCCTGCCGGTGTGGAAATGCAATTTTCCTCCAGTTAGCCTAGGTAATTGCAGTCTCTTCTATGAAAATCTGTCATTAAAATCTACTCCAAGAAGGTCCCATGGTTAGAACCCCAGTGCCCAGTCGCTGACGTGTTACCAGCGCCCAGACCTGGTGGAGGCAGAGTCTGCCCACCACCCACTCTGCGCGCGGAGGTCCCGCTGAAGAAAAGGCGGGTCTGGAAAGGTTGGAGGACAGAGAGACTTTCCTATTTCGGGTCTTGGCTTCCAGTCATGACTAACTTTCCAAGCTCGGGACCCCCAGGAGCGCACGTTCCCAAAGGCTGGGCGGAGAGGGGCCGCCGGGCAGGGGCTGCGGGGCAGCGGCTGCCTGAGCGGTCGGTGCGGGGATCGCAGACGCATCCCCCCGCTCTCCCCTCCGCCTCCTAGTCCTCCTCCGCCGCCGCCTCTGGGCTGAGCGATGCCCGAGCTTCCCGCGGAGGGCGGGACCCGAGTCGTGCGGCGCGGCGGGAGGGGAGGGCCGTTCCGGGGGCCGGCAGCCTACCGTCTTCTGCTTCTTGACCTCCGACATGCTGCGGCGACTGCGGATCCTCGGTCCAGGCAGCAGAGATGGAAGATCGCACGGATGGCTGCGGCGGCTGCTGCTGCCGGGCTCCGGGGAAGGAGGTATAAAAAGGCTCCGCAGACACGTCGCACTTCCCTTGACCAGCCCCCTTCTCCTACTCCTCCTCCCGCGCTCCTCTCCGCCCCGTCGGCTCCAGCAGCGGCCAGCCCCGGGGACCGGGCAGCCTCCTGGGCGGGGTTCCCCGCCGCTGCCCCGCCAGCCCAGGTCGGACGCACACCGGCCGCCCTTGACCCTTCCTGGTGCATCCTCCACCGCCCTTGACCCTTCCCAGAGCATCCTCCACCGCTCTCCCCACCCCTTCAAGGAAGCCTCTGGGACCCAGGAGCATACTGAGTTAAAGGCAAGCCCACTTAAAGCCGTCAGGCCTGCTGACACCGGCCTCTGAGCACACGGATGAGCCGCTGGGCTTCACATACAGTACTCACTTAACACTGACGGATGTTTACCCTACACTTCTCTAAACTCTGTGCTACTCAAGTGCTACCAGCGCGGGTTTGTCCCAGGCATAAATCAAGGCATTCAGTTTTTTTCCCCAGATTATATTCCAAGCGAGGGGATTCAAACCCAGACTGTTAGTGCAGCCTGTTGACCCCAGAATCACCACGCAAGACTAAAAGAAAACCTGAGGTTCTTGAGTTAACTGCACGTAATATACGTCCGGCATCATGTTAAGGTTTACAAGTGTCCAGATATTTCCAGCTCACAGCAGCACAGACTGACCAGTGGATTCCCTGTTTCCTGCCCCCAGAAAGTCAAGTCTGCCGGGTCACACCCAGTGGACAGAGGTAGACCAGAGAGTATTGCAGTCCATTCTCAAACATCTTCCTGTAGTGATTATTTTGTCAGTGCTCCTTACTAAAGTTTTATTTTTATTTATGTGTATGTGTCTGTGTAAGTATATGCTACAATGTGCAGGTTCTGCGCAGGCCAGAAGAAAGTTGTAAGACCCGAACTCAGAAGAACAGCAAGTATCCTTAATCACTGAGCCCTCTCTTTAGCCCCCTAAATTTGCTTCTAAAGTACTTCTAGTTTTCCAGGCGTCTGAAGAGTTGAGTGTTCCCTGGCCTCCCTTCTCCATGGGATTTAGAGGAGTTAAAACCTTAAAGGGCAGCCTGCTTGTCTGCAGTCTCCAGCGGCCACCTTACGATTGTTAACTCCTTTTTAGTAAACTGCAATCACTCGGTTTACATGCCACAACTAGGATGGTAAATCTTGGGTCCGAGTTTCTGTTCGGTACATAGGTAGCACATTTGTTAACTTATTATATGTGAGGTGTAAGCAGCACCCTGCTGGTGTTTTCTTAGGAAAATCCCTTTCTATAGGTTCAACCAAATCTTGGATCTTGTCAGTTTTACCATAAGGGAAGGTAAATGAAGTGAGGATTGAGAAATCATGAAATTTGCATGATTGTAAAAAAAAAAAAAAT